CTTGGCTTGATGAACTACCTCACTACAGCTGAACAGTTCACGTACTAATGTACTCTATCTTATCATACCAGTCAAGCATTAAGATACTACCAACCAAAGAATGTGGAAGACTTGCCATTGCATGAAACATCCTCAATGCCTATAATACTGAGTATGCAACATGTTCTTACTCCTACTCCTGCTGTTGCTGCTACTGGTGGTGCTCACTCCTTCTCTCAGCTGTTCATAGTCGTCATCCTCACTTTACTGAAAGGGAAGTAGGAGTCTATTGCATGCCGGCTATGCGTGGAGGGGTAATAAGTTGTTGTGTATCGTATGGCCATACTTATCATCATCATTAGATTGGTGCGATTAAGACAGGGCAACACCAAGATGGACACATTATCAGGAGTCTTCAACACATCCTACCTTTTAAGGTTCAATTACCTAATCTCCCACTAACGAGATCAACTGAGATAATCAAAGATGTGATATATATGTTTTCCATTTATAGTATTCAAGGATGAGCTCCTCTTCTTCTACCCCCGCCCCCCCCAGATTCCCCTCGAGAAGGATACTTATCTTGAGTCCAGTACTAATGACTTCATTGCTCAATATCTACCAGCATTGGATGCAACTCATGCATGCAGTTATGGTAGATGTTTATATCAACTAAGCTGCATGAATGACTGTAAAACGAAGAAGTGCTCCTGGATGATGAGTGTGGTTATTAGATGACTTCATCATTGGAACACATTGGGATGCCCCTGATGGTAGAATACAATTAGCGACGGGATTCTCCGGAGAGGGCTTCAAGTTCGCACCAGTTATAGGTGGGATCATGCAGCATCACCATCATCACTCATTGGCTTGTCGTAAATCAGGGGAGTTTTTAGCGTCTCAAGCAGTTCGTGCATTAGAGGGTGAAGGAGCTCTACCTCCTCCTAATAGGCTCTTTAGAGAGATGAAGGCACGCTTTGACCCTTCTAGAGATATGATGGCTCATGTTCAAGCATCATTATGACCATGTTTCTGCCAATATATACTGTTACGTTATGACATCACATGAGATTATCACCTCATACATGAAAGGGGAGACTAGTGTGAGGATCTCCACTTGGCACAATGGTGAGCATTTGCTCAATACCTCGAGTGCACAGCAAATGTCGAGTAGATGGATGATACTCACGTACGATTATTGGAGTATAGGCACCCTTCTGCTATTATGTCTAAGTATTCTAGTTTATCAACCTCCTGGCAGGAGCTCAAGTCTAGGGGGTAGTCAGTTGGAGGGTAGCCCGAGATGGAGAGTAGTATTAGCGCCATACCGGACCACATTCGGAACTGAACACGACGTGGTCGGTATACATCGAGGATATACGATCAGAGTATTGTTACTGTGTGATTAATATAGATGAACACAACATCGAATTGGAACTTCATTTCTTCGTCGTCTTCTTCTTGTTGATGTTATTTGTCTTAGCAGATGATGTGGTGTGAATATCCTTCAAATAGGCGATAACCTCCTCTCTCATGAATGTCCCTTCCTCTCTCTCTTCCGCCATCTGCTGCTAATCTATACTTAACAACCGG